CTCTTTTTCTAGCTTTTTTTTTTTCTTTTTATAGAGAAAACTGAAAAAATTCCATTCAAGGGCAATCAATTAAAATAAAGGCGTTTTTTGATAGGCGTTCTTTATTAGTAGTGTCTATTTCTGATCATTAGATCATATAATAATCATATAAAATTAAGAAAGTGTGCAAAATAAATAATTTTTAATACAAATCTAACGGTTGAAAATAGAGATATATTTTTCAATAGTTTAATTTTTCAGAGCCTATCAAAAAACTCCTCCAAAACAAAGAAGAGATGCAATCAATTTCTTTTTTATTTTTTTATTTTTTGTTTTTGAGCCAAAATATATCCTCCGAATAGGAGGAACTAGGAAGCAAACTTGGTACTAAGAGAAAGAATGACAATTATCAAGCATTGCATTTACAACGTTTTTTTTACACTCTCAATAAATTCCTCCAATCAAACGACAAAAAAGAAACCTTCCCTAATGGCCAGAAGTTCAATAGTTTCAACATTCTCGCCCAAAATAGTTTAATATCTTTATGATAACAACAATCAAATATTGTTGAAAATAATTACAATAATAATAGTAGTCAAGTTATCTCATATAAATAATCAATACGTTAAGCTATAATTTGATTAGCAAACCCGTAACATTTTAATTTTTTAAACTTTTTATTTTATTTTTAGAAGTTTTACTGTAAGATGTTTATGAAGCATGTAGAAAAAAGGTAACATTTAATCACATCAACAACTTCTATTTAAAATTTAGAAGTTTCAAGCCTGTAGCTAGGGTGGCAAAGAGTTGTGATACTTATTACAATTATAGCTAAACAAAAGAGAAGTAAGATTAAAAAATTTAAACATTACCTAGCCCCGTTCATTTCGCCGATTCGAGTTTAGAATTCGAGTTTTGCTACAGTAAAAAGCTCTCAGAAACAATCACATCTAACTTTTTTGCTACAGTAAAAAGCTCTCACACAAAATCACATCTCAACTCGAATTACAAACTCGAATCAACGAAGTAAACGGGCCCTTGTTGAGGTCTAAAGTAAAGGCAATTTAAAATTTACAGCAAATTTTATCACTTTCTTTCTCAACATTAAAAGTAAAAAATTGAAAAACTTCGACCTTGGTTGTTGCACTCCAAAAATGAGACGTTGGCTTGTTCATGTGAACTTTTTTGAAAAATGCGAAAATCTTTTGGTAACGAAACCATTTGACTGTCCAACTTTAAAAAATTCTTTAGATCCATTTAGTTCACTGAATCAAATTGAGATGTGATTTTATCTAAGAGTTTTTTTATTATAATAAAAAAATTAGATGTGACTGTTTCTGAGAGTTTTTTACTATAATAAAACTCGAATCAATAAAATAAACGGAACCTTTATATATGAAAAAGAAAAATTTAAAGAATGACGTTCAAAAAACACCTCAAAGGTCATTCATTCAACCAGAAAACTTAATTTTTAAAAAAAGAAATTTACTATTAAATATATAATTATTAAATTTGATCAAAATTACATAAAATAAAAAATATATAAAATAAATAATTTTTATATAAATTTAACCGTTAAAAAAGTATTTTTTCAGACTCTACATGAGAAATTTAAAAAAATAAATAAAAAGATAACAAAAAAAAAACTCAAGAGGGTATAAGATGAATTTAAACAAAAATTCAAATATAGAACACCTAACTTGTGATTTCCTCAAAATATCCGTCCTAATCCAAAACTCTCCACTTTTGTCCAACGCAAACATCTCTCTGCTTGTCGGGTCCTACTCCTAACCAAGTGTTCCACTTATGATACTCACAGCTCAGCTCATGTTTCTTTTCAAATTAAATAATATATATAATTATTAATTATTTCCCATTTCATTCTTTTTTTTAATTATTATTATTTTCCCCTTTCTTATCAGATCCAAACGGTTTTCTCAAGAAACGAATGTTGAAAGCCACCAACCTGAAAATTTGAATTTCAGGTCCAAAAAAAAAAAATCAATATTAACAATAATAATTAAAAAAAGGAAAATAAAAGCTTGAAAAAACAACAACAACAAATGTGAAATTTCTCCCAAATTTGAATTTCAGTAAGTCACCTTTTTTTTTTTTTTTTTTTTTTTCCTTTGGTTCCACAAAACAAGCACAAAAAAAAGAAGAAAAAACAACTATTTTTAAAAAAAATTTGTTTGGTTTTTGCTCATTACTATCTTCTTCTTCTCCTTCTTCTTTTGTTTCAAAGGAGGTTTGTTTTCTCAAACAACCTTTTTTCTTGTTTCGTCTTCTTCATCTTCTCAGTTTCAATTCTGCCTCGTAACTTACGCCGTTTTGGAAATTCGCTTTCTGAGATCGTTTTTTGCTCAACAACAACAACAAAAAAACGCGTTTCGTAGCTCCATACGTGCATTTTCTCGATCTTTTCAGCTTTCTCTCGTTGCCATTTTTGGAGAATTTTGATGAGAGAATTCGGAGGATCAGGGATGGCGGAGTTTCCGATGCTCTGGTTCGGAATTAGGGTTTTCGGAGTGAGAGGTGGAATTTGATCTTTTTCACGGTGAGAATTTGGATAATTTTTGAAGGATTTTTTGCGGATTTTGTTCTAGGTTTTTGAGGTGAAAGATGATGTTATCCGCGTCGCCGTCGATGATAGTCCGGAGCTCGCTGGAGGAAATGCTTGATTCGCTCCGGCGGAGGGACGATGAAGAGAAGCCGAAGGATTTGCCGCCGGCATTGCCGGCTCGCCCGACTTCGAAGGCCCGGCTTCCTCCGGCGAGGCGGTCTTTGCCGACGAACTTCAGGGTCGGCGACGACGACGACGAGTGCCTGCCGAGTGGAAATGAAGAGACGAAGAGGAAGGAGAATGATTCCTCCGGTTCCAAGAGGAATTGTTTCGCGACCAAGAAGATGAGGAAAGAGCAAAATGCCGCCGAGTCGCCGTATGCGATCGGAATTGAGCTGACGGAGAGCTCGGATCGGGCCGCGGTAGCTTCTATGTGGAGGAATCAAGGGACGGACTTGGATGACAACATTAGCTACTTCATGAAGAAGGTAAAGTTTTCGTTTGGATTTTCTAATGTTTTTACTTATTCTTCGGAATTTCTTCTGCGCTTAAATGGTATTTTACACTTCAATTAAGTCATAAGACATTGATCTCAGCCAAAAAAAAAAAAAAAAAAAATTATAAGACGTTGATCATCATTCATCAGTGTGATTTTCGGTCTTTTTAAATCTTAGCTAATAGCTATGATGATTCACTGGAATTGTAACGTTTTTGTAGTTAACACATTGGGTCATAGCTAATGTCATAGATATAGATGACCTTTGGGCTTTATATTATATATATATATATTTATATATATGTATATATGTATGTATGTATGTATAAAATAGATCGTATCATGCATTTTCATTCTAGTCCAGCACTAAAAGTTTGATTTTTTAGGTTGAAAAGTTGGTAAAATACTAGAATGAACAGTCTTTCACGAATCTGTCTGTTTTTTGTTTCTGAAACATGCATTGAAGTGATGAAGTATTTTGTTTCAGAAACGTCGCGTTTGGTGTCGGTTGCCAAGTGGGCAGTGGGAATCAGGAACGATACAATCAACATCAGGAGAGCATGCACTTGTTTCTCTCTCTAACGGGAATGTAAGTTCATACATACACGTCTGAAGCTGTTTGAAGTTTGAACTATTATGGGCTTTTGCTAGGGACTTTTGGGGTACTTAATTTGGTTGCATAAACCCTTTTGTTGTTGACATAGGTTATGAAAATCAGCTCATCCGAGCTCTTACCGGCAAACCCAGATATCCTTGAAGGAGTTGATGATCTTGTACAACTTAGTTACTTGAATGAGCCATCTCTTTTTCACAATCTTCAGAACAGATTTTCTAATGATCTGATTTACGTAAGTATCATTATGTTCTTCCTTTCACATTTGGTACGCTTATTCGTGTATCTGTTTACTTTTTTTTTTTTTTTTGGTCTTCGTTTAAAGTCTTTTATTTTTCTTCTGAAGACTAAAGCGGGACCAGTTTTAGTTGCTATCAATCCCTTCAAAGATGTCCAAATTTATGGAGATGAGTTTGTCACGGCTTATAGGCAGAAAAGATTGGACAGTCCTCACGTTTATGCTGTAGTAGACGCTGCTTATGATGCAATGATGAAAGGTGTACTTTCTTTTAACGCTTTTTTTCAGGTTGGGATAATTGTTTAATCTTTGTAGCAATGTCTAACTTGTTTTTGAAGCTTTTCTTTTTGCCCTGGCTATGATTTTAATCTTGCAGAAGAAGTAAATCAATCCATTATCATCAGGTAAGAATATCTTTTGTCCAATTCTCTTCATGTTAGGAGCTTCTTTATAAACACTGTCCTTCCGCGCCTATTTTTGAATACTAAGCTGCTATCTCTCGATTTTCAATTTCATAAGTCATCACTTGTCCGTATAATAGTTTGCTATAAAGATTAATCTTTTTTTCCCCCTTTCAGTGGAGAAAGTGGAGCTGGGAAAACTGAGACAGCAAAAATTGCAATGCATTACTTGGCTGCTCTTAGTGGTGGCAGCTCCAGTATCGAGCATAAGATGCTTCAGAGCAATCTTATACTGGAAGCATTTGGTAATGCAAAAACATCTAGGAATGGCAACTCTAGCCGATTTGTGAGTTTCCCTCTTTTTTTCCACTTCGTAAATGAGATCTGAAAGGCAATGCAATCTGGGTAAACATTATTTGTCATTGGTTGCAGGGAAAGTTGATTGAAATTCATTTTAGTACACTTGGGAAAATATGTGGTGCTAACATTGAAGTGTGTAAGTACTTTTTTATTTTATTGTTCTGGTTTTGATGATTACTTTTACATTCAATGCTAACTTGATTGTCACAATCTGATGTGCACGTCAACATAAACATTTACTACAAATTATTGTGGATAGTTCTTTTGGAAAAGGTAATTTGTGACTCCATCGATCTTTCATTGGTGTTTTCAGTATTACTTTGTGTATCATATTTGAAATCATATTTTTTTTTTCCTTTGAGCAGTCACGAGTGGTTCAATTGGCCAATGGTGAACGGTCATACCATGTATTTTATCAACTCTGTGCTGGTGCTCCTTCAAGTCTAAAAGGTAGTAATCGATTTGGTTAATTATTCTGTCGCTGTTTCTTTTTTAGATGTCATATAGCCGTTTCGAAAATGCTGGTCTTTTTTATGTTTGCCCTAGTGTTGTGCTTGGAAATTGGTATAAAGTCGATCTATGGACCCACTTCTTTATTCTGCTGTGAAAGAATTTTCCATGTCAAATGTTCTGCATAAGTTATGGTCTAAAAAGTTGAAATTAGGCTATACAAATTAAGCCTTTAAGCCAAAAAAGATCTTTTTGTAGCAATCTATTTGTCAACCACGTACCCCCTTACCACCCAACCCAAATACACGTGCCGGTGCAAAATCCCCCACTATTTACCGAATTAGGAAAGTTGAGTTGACTTCTTGCAGTTTTTTTACTTGCTTCCTTGAATTAGGTTTATAAACATGGAAATTTAGCAATGATCACTCACTCATGATCGGCTTTTGCTTTAGTTGCTGACTAGCTGGTTGGCACTTTTTAAATTAATGACTCGTCCAAGTTTTGTAATAACATAATTTGTTTCGTTGAGTTTTGGAGTCATCTGCATTCTGCCGTATCCTCTCCATTTTGAATACAATATTTTTTCTTTGCTATCATTTTGAATTGAGTTATTCATAGTACAATTTTTCCATTTACTATTGTTGGTACTATTAACTTTTGCTGAGACGATAAATGTTAGAATGGCTAGTGATTACAATTATCTTAATCAGAGTTATTACTTAGCAATAGATGGTGTCTTATTATTAAAAATATCTCCATTTTGTCTTTGCCTTTTGATTTTTGGTGGATTCCTCATCCATCGTTTTGTAAACTTTATTTGTTTTTATTAAAGTTTTGTGTTTTCTATTGAAAAGATGGTGTCTTATTGTTATTGTCCATTTTTTACAGAGAGACTGAACCTTAGAATGGCTAGTGATTACAAATATCTTAGTCAAAGTGATTGCTTAGCAATAGAAGGTGTCAATGAAGCTCAGAGATTTCATATTCTTATGGTAAGGAAGCAATAATAACAGAATATTGCTATTGCTGTGCTCATTATACTTTTTTCTTTAATTTCATTATTGCATCCTGCAGTCATATGTTTGATCCTTTTTTGTTGCTTTCCCGTTTCCTCAGGAAGCATTAGACATTGTTGGAATTTCTAAAGAAGATCAAGAGCGTATATTTGCAACCCTTGCAGCTATATTATGGCTGGGAAACACTTCATTCCAAGTGATTGACAATGGAAACCAAGTGGAGGTCCTGGTTGATGAAGGTAACCCATCTTTCTTATCTTATAGATCAATATGCCACACCTGGTATTGGCGTATATGATGTGCTTTTCTTGTTTTTCAATGTGCTGTCTTTGGCTATAGCTTCTATGTCCGTGGCTCCTCACCAGTTTTTCTTATTTCTTTCCTACAGAAGGAGAAAATGAGAAGAAACTGCTTTGAGTAACTTCTGTTATTTTTCTTTTGTGTAGCTGTAACAAATGCGGCCAAGCTGATGGGATGCAGTATCCAGGAGTTGAAGTTATCATTATGCACCAATAAAAACCTTGCTGGCAAGGAGAGCGCCACTAAAAGGTGGACCTTGCAGCAGGTAGTATTAGTACTTTTATATTTCTTTATTTTCAACAGAAATGCACTTTCTTGCAATAAGACAACATCCTGTTTATTTTCTTATCATCCAGGCAATTGACAGAAGAGATGCTTTGGCAAAATTTATCTATGCGAGACTGTTTGACTGGCTTGTAGAACGGATCAACAATTCCCTTCATGCAGCCAAATGCTGCGTTGGGAAATCAATCAATATCCTTGATATATATGGGTTTGAGTCTTTTCAGGTATTACTTCTGATTCAACCTTTCATAATGCTCTAGTCAAATACAGTTGTATGATTGGTTATCACATATTCTCACCATTTTTCAGAAGAACAGCTTTGAACAAATGTGTATTAATTATGCAAATGAGAGGCTGCAACAACATTTCAACAGGCATTTATTTAAACTTGAACAGGAGGTGAGCATCTCATACTATTGCCACTTTAAGATTCTAGGAACGTTCTTCATTATATATTTTTAAGTTGTCTCTACAGTCTGCACAGGTACGGGATTTTTTATGTTAACGCATCTGGCATGTCATTCCTATTTCCTGCTTCTCGTAGATGTTAAATTTCATTATTGGGTGTTTTTATTCTGTTGCTTTTAAGGAATTCCAGATATTATGATCCCTAATGTACCTGTGACTATATTTATGCATGGTAATGACACTTTTCTACATTTTGTTCAGGATTATGAACTGGATGGTATTGATTGGACTAAAGTAGATTTTGAAGACAACCAAGAGTGCTTAGATCTGTTTGAGAAGGTATTTGTGTGCTTCAAGCCTTCTGTGTAATTGACATCATAATTAGTAATCAGGTGGCCGTTCAAGTATTTCTGCTGATTTATCAAGGGCGGTCAACTCCATCAGCTTTTTATTTATTTCAAATGATTTTAGTCATTTTGTTTATAACTGAAGCATTCAATTCTGTTATTGTCTTGGTGTGCAGAAATCTTCAGGGTTACTATCCGTGTTGGATGCGGAATCAAACCTGCCCAAGGCCAGTGATTTGACCTTTGCCAATAAGCTCAAGCAACATTTGAATTTGAATAGTCGCTTCAAAGGAGAAAGAGGCAGGGCATTTAGTGTTCGTCACTATGCTGGAGAGGTTGGTTTTTGTCATTTTGAGGAGATTTACAGGCTTTAATTTTAATTATTGGGCTAGAGCTTGCATAACTGATATTTGAAAGCGATTCTGAATCCTCCTGAAGTGCAACTATTTGACTGGATAACTGTGTTGTATAATTCTGGAAGATTTTGAGCCATCTTAAATGATCAAATTAAATAAAACTTTTTGGTATTCATAATATTATTTAGTTGTCACTAACCTTGGATAGTTGGATTTTCTATCAGGTTCTGTACGATACAAACGGATTTCTGGAGAAGAATAAAGATTCTTTGCATGCTGATTTTCTCCAACTCCTCTCAGCTTGCAATAATGAACTCCTGCAGATTGCCTCCAAATTGCTAAATGATTCTGAGAAACCAGCTACTACATTATCCGAGATCAGTTCATCAGACTTCCCAAGGCAGAGTGTTAGTACAAAGTTTAAGGTGCATATGCTTGTGCATAATTTTGAACTTGATGTATGTTTGCTATTATATGCTTTTACAAATTTATGAAATTTGTTAGAGCAATGCGATTTATAATTCCATTTCATTGGTTGGATTTCCTTTATCTATTAACCTATAATAATAATAATAATAATAATAATAATAGGAATCTCATGCTAAACCATAAGGTTTAATGTTTGATGGTCCTGCGACACATGGTTGAATGCTAATACTCTCTCTCTCTCTCTCTCTCTCTCTCTCTCTCTCTGTGGAAAAAATATTTATGAATTCCTGCGTTCTTGCAGAATCAATTATTCAAATTAATGCAGCGGTTGGACAGCACCAAACCTCATTTCATTCGCTGCATAAAGCCAAATAATAAGCAGCTTCCTGGCATATATGAAGCAGACCTTGTCTTAGAACAGCTTAGATGTGGTGGAATTTTGGAGGTCGTTAGGATAGCAAGATCTGGACATCCAATTAGAATGAAACATCAAGAGTTTGCACGAAGGTGGGTTGAGGAGAAACCTCTTCTGTGTGTGTGTGCATGCGCGCCTTTCCCCTTCTTTATTAGGGGACAATAACATGATACCTATTTCTTAGCGTATTTCAATTGTTAATTATTACTTGAATTGCCAAGTTTCTTCTAATGTGTCTGCTTGTATTTTAGGTATGGTTTCCTACTCTCAAAGACCAATGTAGCTCGGGATCCATTAAGTATATCCATTGCCATTCTTCAACAATTTGGTATCCTTCCTGAGATGTACCAAATTGGTTATACTAAAGTTTTCCTTCGAATGGGGCAGGTATATTACCGTCTCCTTTGCTAAATTTTTTGTTGAAACTAACACTTGAAAGTCTGTGTTTTTAATTGTAAGACATTTTAATTAAATAGCGACTAAAAAGACTTCAGTTAATACTTAATATCTGATTTCATGTTGATATTTTGTTCGGTGGGTTTTCTAATTCTGTTTTCTCTGGTGCTTCACAGATTGAAAAATTGGAGCATAGAAGAAAACAAGTTCTTGAAGGAACAGTTTGTGTCCAGAAACACTTCCGTGGGTATCATGCTCGCCGTTGTCTCTATGAGCTAAAGGGAGCAAAGAAATCAAAGTCATGTAATGATACTCATCTTGTGAAGGGGTTACAACCTGACGGTCTGAAATCTATAAAGAAGCCTGGAAGGAAGTTTTCCGAAGGAAAGGTATTTCTTATTAACAAAGAAATCCACTTTCAATATCATACTGATGTGCTTATTCTTTAGTGATTAATTATGTCGTCTCAATTTTATGATTTTTTCCCCTCTTTCTCTTAGTTATGTTATACTTGTGCATGTATAGTTTGTCTGTCAAATATATGCAACTCGCTTCAATTCCTTGACATTAGCTGTCGTGTATGGGACACCTATCAATTTGTGTAGGCTTCCGCCAGGACTTTTCTTAGACTTGCCTTAGCGTGTTTGAAACTTATTCCATCATATTGCATTTGTGTGGTTCTCAAGTAGTTAAACCATTCTATATGTAAATATCTGAACCCATTATTGCATTAATGTTTCTCCATTACACTTTAGAGTTGAGCGGCTGCAATTTTGCGTGTTGTTTGTCAAGCAGGAGGAGCGGGTTCATAAGATGCCTTTAACTCTAAAAGAGCTTCAACAGCGAGTCATAAAGGCAGAAGAAACTATTGAGCAAAAGGAAGAGGAAAACGCTGCATTGCGTGAGCAACTGCAGCAGTTTGAGACGAGGTGGTCAGACTATGAGGCAAAAATGAAGTCTATGGAGGAAATGTGGCAAAAGCAGATGGCATCTTTGCAGGTGAGTTTTTCTGTCATCCATAGATTAGGGAATTGTAGATTTTGTTGGGTTCTCGATGTGGTATATCTTAAATGAATGTGACATTGACACTATGTCAATTTGGGTCTCTAGCATTGAAAGTGTTTGAGGTCTTGTGAGGGTGCGCCAATAAATTCACCTGACTTGGGCTTCAGTCATAGAATCAGCATGGCTGTTAGATGCCATCCATTCAACGGATGCGTTTTCCAGCAAGAAATGTAAACGATAATGTTCGTATGAGGGACAAACGCATAAGAATTTAATTTCTGTTTGTGATGCAGATGAGTCTTGCTGCAGCCAGAAAGAGCCTTGGCGTTGATCATTCAGTAGGTCAACCCGGAAGACATGATGCTGCTACATCACCTCGTTATTATGATTCTGAGGATGCTACGTCCATGGGATCTCGAACTCCTGGTGCAAGCACACCTCTCAAATATTCTAACAGCGGTCACGATGTTGGAGTGGGACGGGATACTAACGGTACTCTGAGTGCAGTGAGCAATCTGATGAAGGAATTTGAGCAGCAGAGACAGGCTTTTGATAATGATGCCAAAGCTCTAGTGGATGTCAAACCAGGACAGTCGGCTTCAAATAAGAATTCAGATGCAGAATTAAGAATGCTTAGATCCCGCTTTGAGATGTGGAAGAAAGAGTACAAGGTAAGATTACGGGAAACAAAAGCAAAGCTTCATAGACTAGGACATTCAGAAGCAGAAAGAAGTCGTCGAAAATGGTGGGGACGAATAAGCGCAAGAGCATCCTAGAAGCTCTACGAGTCATTTCACAGTGTGAATGTGGGCAAATATGGAGCTTCCTTGAAGTTATTTAATTTGTCAGAACTCAGAACATTTCCAGTTCTCTCCCCCTTTTCAGGAGCTGCTCTGTTGCATATTTATGGCATCGTCTAGTTTGAAGTAGCAGCGGATGAGAACTTGTATATCTACCAATTTTTGGCAACTCGGTGGAAGTTTAGTTGTTAAGTTTGTGCATAGCCAGATAGAAATTGTAGTGATTTAAGCCCAAGGTTAGTCAATTTTTGTATATCCTGTTGTTGTTAGTGTAGGTACCAATTAATGCTCAGTACTGAATATACGGGGAAAACTGTTCATATTGCCCCATTATGTAGTCCGTGTTGTTGTGATATCTTTAATTCATCCAAAATTACGTTATGATAATTTATGCAATGTGTCCTTGCTCTCTTTAGGTCTCGCTAAAGACTGAAAACGTGATCATATCATTTAAGACACATTTAATAGAGCTATGCATTTTAAGAGTTTAGACACCGTTGATTTGAAGAGTTTCTCATGGTAGGATTTAGTTTTTGGTGTTAAGCACGTCTATGATCTGAATTTTTTATGATCCACAATTACTTCCTAAACTTTTACTGTAGAATGCTCTTAATTCATGACAATTAAATAGAGCTATGCATTTCAAGAGTTTAGGACGTGATCATATCATTTAGACATTTAATAGAGCTATGCATTTTAAGAGTTTAGGGTCCCGTTCATTTCATCGATTCGAGTTTAAAATTCAAATTTTGCTACAGTAAAAAACTCTCAGAAACAGTCACATTTAATTTTTTTTTGCTACAGTAACAAGTTCTCACATAAAGTTACATCTCAACTCGAATTAAAAACTCGAATCAGCAAACTAAACGGGCCCTAGGTGATTCTGAGCAAAATCAATCACCGTTGATCTTAATAAGAGTTTCTCATGGTGGGATTTAGTTTTGGGTGTTGAACACATCTATGATCTGAATTTTTTATGATCGACAAGTTACTTCCTAAACTCTTACTGTAGAATGCTCTTAATTCATGGCAATTAAATTTGGACGGAAACACTTTAGCACACATTATGAGAGCTCGTTTGAAGGAAGCGATCGAAAGCGATTGAAATTTTGGTTGATGATTGTAGCATGTGCATGAAAGCATTTCTTTTCAATTTGAACACTATCATTAATTTGGAGATAGCATGCAACTTTCATTTAAATTTAAGGATAATTTGCCGCCACTACTTTTTTGTTCTAATTGGCCACTGTATTATGCTTTTTTTTTTTTTTTTGTCAATTCAGTCAGTTTATGTTTATGGGACAAAAGGCACCAAAAACCTTATAGTTTTTTTTTTTTTTTTTCTTTGGCTATTGTATTATGCATTTTCTTTTTCTTAGGGAAGTAACATGCATTTTATGCATGAGAGAACATAAAAAAGTAGAGCCCATGTTAGTTCTCTGCACACAAATTTGAGCACTCCACATTTGTTCAGTCCTTGTGACGTAGAATCCAAAACAGAAGTGAAATACGGTAACCAAGGATGAGATCTACACAATTCTTTACAGTACTAATTTCATTTTCATCAAAGGGACAAGACCGATCATAAAAACGACATCAACATTCAATTTACGACCCCGGAACGAACTTGGTGGCGTAGACCCAAGCATTGTTAGCAACAGGGTTGTCAAGGTGGTCGAGAAGGTTCTCAAGAGGACCCTTTCCAGTGACAATGGCTTGGACAAAGAAGCCGAACATGGAGAACATGGCAAGTCTTCCGTTCTTGATTTCCTTGACCTTTAGCTCGGCAAAGGTGACTGGGTCATCGGCCAGGCCCAATGGGTCGAAGTATTGCCCACCTGGGTAGAGGTCATTGCCCTCACCTACGCCATCAAGTCCATTGATGCGGAAGCCCTCGACGAGGCCCATCAGGACCACTTGGAAGCCCAGGACTGCGAGGATGCTCTGGGCGTGGACCAGGTTGGGGTTGCCCAAGTAGTCCAGTCCACCTTCTGAGAAGATTTGGGCCCCGGCCTTGAACCAGACTGGCTCCTTGAAGTCCACTTTGACCCATTTCTCGAGGACCTCTGGAGTGATGCAGCCCAATGCTCCGAGCATTGCCCATCTGCCGTGGATCACCTAGAAGTTGCACAAAAACATTAGTTAGAAAGATGATGCACATATTCAAAATGTAGTTTCATTGATAAATTATAAAACTAAAATGTGAGACAACATAGTAATTTCAGTTTTAGAGGTTACACAAAATTTTGAAGCATATGCATTCGTGATAATATTTTTGTGATATTTATCTTGTTGTTTTTAATATAGATGTTGTTCTTATAAACCATAAGCGTTTGATACAATAATAATTTCTATAGGAGATTCCTCAAATCAAATAAGCTTATAGTCTTTATTAAGACCACAATGAACTCACACTTGAGAGAGTTTCATTTAAAAAAAAAAAGACACCTAAGAGTTTTAGAAGAATAGTACTTGAGGCACCACTATTAATAATATTATTAGAATTCGAGTTTAAAGCTATCAGAAACAGTCACATCTCAACTCGAATTAACGAACTAAACAGGCCGTTATTATTCTACTAATTTTCTAGCCATAACAAAGCAACTTTATTATACATCTATTGAAAGATTATGTGCTCATAAAATTATCACATTAAGGTAATAACCAAAAAGGATGCCTCAACTGTTATTGGGTTGAGGCACCAAAAAGGGTTCTAACTCTACTTGTTTTTGGTACAAAGCAAGAGTAATTTCTAAGCAAAGTTTGGATAGTTGGGCAGATAATTAACAAACAAAACTTGTACATGACTTGTGAGAAAAAAAAAAAGAAAAAAAGAGTGTGAGAATTGGAGTACCTCCAGAGCCCTGTTCTTGGCAAAGGCCTCGGGATCAGCAGACAAACCAGCGGTGTCCCATCCATAGTCACCGGGGAACTCACCGGTCAGGTATGATGGAGTTTGAGCAGAGAAAGGTCCCAAGTACTTCACTCTGTCTGGTCCATACCACAACTCGTTTCCCTATTTACATAACAAACCAAACAGCACAACACCACATTAGTACCCACAGAATAAAAATCGCCTCAAAATTATGTCAAAATGAATAATTATACAAAACCTAACAACATCTAGTAAAAACATGACGGCTCAAAACTATACTCTATACGTAATTTTTTAATATACACTATAAAAAATTTCTTAAAACCTCAAGGAAATTTTTTTACAATAGGATAACTTTACTAGTGTTATGTGCTTTTAAATAATAGTTCTAGTTGAAATTAAATCAAAATAAAAAGTGTGAAACTGACAATGTTGATAGACAGTTAAAAATAAAATAATACCAGTAGAATTCTTTTTTAATTTATTGGTGTAGGGTTCACAAAAACTTGAAAAAAAAAATAGAAAAAAAAAGAGCATTAATAGGGAATGTACCATGGTGTATTTCCCAGTTCCCATGGGGACAACATCTCTTAGAGAGGTTGAACTTTGCCCTCTGTTTTGGCCGAGGAACGGGGTCGGTCTAAGGAGGGCGCTAGAGCTAGCGGTTGCGGCCATTAGCATAGCTGTGGTGAGTTCCCAAGCTTTTCAGTTAATTCAGTTGGTTTTCTTGACAAGTTTGGAGCCTAAAATATTGTGGAAGAAGAAGAAGCTAGTGGTAAATAATAATATGTGGGGCAAGAGCGAAAACAAAGGAAGGAACTAATGCGTGGCCGAGAATGCAAGAGGTGGGGGAAAATTGTGGTGGGGTTTGTGAGCTTTCTATCAACCAATCAGGAAGCTTAGAAGGATTTTTATGTATCTCCAACTCACATCTTTCTATCCACATTTTATCTTTTGTTCACAAACAGAGTTTTTTCTGTTGGGAAAATATCCATTATGTGGCACATGCAGAACCATTTGTTGCGTGTGCCTCGTTGATGATGTTTTGCCATCAATCAGATGGGGTTCGTTGATGGTGATGAGATCAGGGATTGCTGGGTTGTTGTGTGGGCCATGTCTAAGCCTAGCATTCTTGTAAAGAGTATATAGGTCCCGTTTTTTTCGCTGATTCGAGTTTAGAATTCGAGTTTTGCTACAGTAAAGAGCTCTCAGAAACAGTAACATCTAACTTTTTTGCTACAGTAAAAAGCTCTCACACAACATCACATCTCAATTCGAATTAAAAACTCGAATTAGCGAACTGAACGGGCCCATAGTACACAAGAAGCGTTATTAAGATTTAAGACTAGTTTGATCACTAAAATAAAAAAAAAAAGAAGAAGATTTAAGACTAGTTTGGAATAGATTTTACTTTGGGTTAATCTGATTGGTGCCCTTACGCTTTGAGATCGTTTTTAGTTTGTTTTCTAAACTCTTCAAATTCTCACTTTTAACCCCCTGAATTTGAATAAACCTAATTTAAGTCATTTCGTAAGGATTTATATTAAAATTAGACCGAAAAACAAGTGATTAAGTATGGTCATATAGTTTTTATCTTTTTACTTTTAACCGATATTCAAATAGAAAGATCACGTGACTTCATTGCTCTTTTTTTTTTTAATCATTTTGAACAGAAATTCCAACATAAATAGTTAAATGAAAACAATTCAAAATTCAAGAGATAAAGTGATAGTTTTTAAAGTTTAGAGGACAAACTGAAAATGCCTTTAAAGTTTAGCAGGCAACATTGATAATAATCCTTTTTACTTTTTTTATTTATTATTATTTGTTAAGTATAGGGAAAGTTACATATCGTAGGTATTTTATTTATTTATTTTTAGGGTCATCTGAGTTAGGATTTAGAATATTGATATATAGGAGTATCTCTAATTTAATGTTATAATTAATTTGTTAATGATAAATTTGACATTTGAGTGTTAAAAAAATCTTCAATGTAGTATAATTTGTCGTGGCAAAATTTTCATATGCTATATTCGGCGGTAAATTATCACAACTTATAGTGTATGGTAAATTTGATATTTTTAAACTTGTAAAGCTTAATCATATAATAAAAATTAAATTTTATATTTGAAATAACATCACATAAATAAAAATAACATATCACATAGTAGTTGAATGGTAGCCACCAGAGCCACCATGACATCAGTGCCTTGAGCCCCTCCATATATCCACGTAGGAACGTCGATAGACAATATCTTTCATTCCACTTTCCTAACACTCAGATTATTATTATACATTTTAGTCCTAAATATACAATTGGGTATTAGTATTTGCATTGAAAATAGTATAATAAGAGTAGAAAAATACTATTTAGTTGGTGAACAAGAATATACAATTTTTAAATTGAGATTTATGAATATTTTATGCCACTAATTTTGGTTGGAAATTCATCATAAAAAGTTCCAAATAAGTGTATATTTTTCCAAAAAAAATAAGAATAGTAAAAATACCTTTGGAACTGCAAACGCCTAGAGATGCAACAATAGGTTGGGACCCGTGGGCCAGCCTAGGCCCATCCTGACTTAGTGACAGTCGGGTCAGTACGGCCTGTCACTGTTCAAGGCACGACCCAGCACATAAATATTAGTGGGCTGGGCTGGGCCAACATATATCAGCTTATGGGCCGGCCTGGCACGACCCATGAAAAATTATAGGCCAGGCCGGGCCCAGCCCGGCCCATCTAGGCCCATGATGGGCCGGCCCAACCCGTCCCGTATAGGCCCATAATGGCCCAGCCCATCTAGACCCATAATATTTACGTTTTTTTTTCTTTTTTTTAGTAATTTTGTAGACATCTTATGTATAATTTTTCTTATTGTACTCTTTTTTTCTTACTAAGGTTTTGTCCTACTAAGTTTTTCTTAAAAATGTTCTTATTTAATAAAGTAATCGTAAATAAAATATCATTTTTCATATTTCTAATGACTTTTTAAACTTATATATTTATTAATTTGTTTAAAAATTCAAAAATAAAAATTAAAAATTAAAAAATTAAAAATTGCATGCTTAGATGGGCTGGCCCATCTAAACCCATGATGTGCCTTGAGTGGGCCAGCCCATTGGAGGCCTATGACACGACCCATCCTGGCCCGCGGCACGGCCCAGCCTAACCCACGTAAAATTGACCCGTAGTGTAGGTTGGGCCGAGGTCATTCTTATACGGCCGGCCCGGCCCGGCCCATAAAATTTGTGGGTCGGACTGGCCTAGTCAGCGGCCCGCGTGGGCCTAAGAAGAATGGACTGGGTCGGCCAGACCGGCATGTTCTTGCATCTCTACTAACACTCATACGGTAACAATTAATAAATCTTAAAAAAGAAAAACGTAAAAAATGCAGTTTGTGTGGATCAAGCACGCGACTTTCAGATCTTCAGTCTGACGCTGTCTCAACTGAGCTATAACCACTGCTAAAAGAAAATAAAAAGTTTGTAGTCTATATATTTTAGAATTAGATGACTCGAGACCACATCACGCCAGCATATTGGACTGTTAACTTAGCTGGTTAATATTTTCCAGCAATTTTTTTGGGCCCATTCTCTCTCACTCTCTTTTTTCCTTCCTTGAAGACAAGTTAAGGGTTTCTTTTTTTTTTGGGGTTGTCCTCACAATGACAATGGAAAGAAGAAATAGAAGGGAGAGAAAAAGACCATCTACTGTGATGAACATTCCAATATAAAAAGAGTTCAGTGATCTAATTTATGAGCAACGATATTATCGGTCCTCCTCATTTACTTAAAAAAAGATAAAAAATCTCAAATTGTACGAACAATTTTGTCATTAACGTAATCCATTTCACAATTGATGCTCGACCCTAACTATGTCTACATCACTACTTTAACATTTCCTCCAAAACACAATAATGAAGTCCATAATCCTTTTTGAAACATCCATATCTTGAACAGGAAAGAGTTTAGCTTTTGAGTTATTCTTGCTATTATTGTTTTTTATTTTTTATTTTTTTTTATCAGAGCCCTATCAATGAAAGTTATTATATTTTTTTTAACATTAGTATGCAATCATGGAAAGTCCATTTTTTTAATCTTTTTGTTTTAAATAAAAGTTCATTTTCCTTTCAAGGAAAAAAAGGAGAAAAATAAGAGTTTTCCTTGTAAACTACCTTAGCACTAAACCTTGATAAGAAAAAAAAGATAATTATCTATTACGATGCACCAGTTTTTGGAAACGCAAGTGATAAAAAAAACAAATTATTTCTTACCCATTAAAATAGGGAAAATTACCTTAAAAAGGAAAATTAATTTTATTTACGCCAGTTACTAGGATGGACTTTATATAACAAATAAAGTACAAGACATCAATATTTAAAAAAAAACACCTAAAAAACTTCCTTCTCTCAAAAAAAAAAAGAAAAAGAAAAAGAGAGAAAAAATAGATTTTATACGGTAGAGCAAGCTATTTACTCTATTGGTGGAGACTGTATTTTTATATTTAAATTAATTTTTCAACGGTTAGATTTACATTACGAACAGTTCATTGTGACACACTAAATTTTTAATACTGACTTACACATATCAAACTATTAAAAAAACAATCCCACCAATAAAGCAAAATAACTTTACTACCATAAAGATTTAAAAAAAAAAAAAAAAAAAAAAAAACCTTCATAGGTAGTTCTGTCATTTCCTTTGAAAGGAGCATAATTTTCCCCCTTTCCTTTAAGACTAATTTGAATCCTCCAACGGTCAAAAACACACCGCCCTACCTGTAGTAATAAAAATAAAATAGTCCCCACCCACACGTGAAACTTAATCCCAGCCGTCAATTCCTGGGCCCACTTAAACAGAACACGATATCCTCCGTCCAAATTTCACTAACCATAAAGTCTTCTAATCCGACGGTGGTGAAGACCCTCCCCGCCAAATAGAAAAACCGACCTTGCAATGAAATGTCGAAGTCTGTTTTTAGAGCGAGAAAGCCGAAGAGCCAAAGGTCGAAAATGGAGGGGTTTTTGTGCTGTTGAAGAGAAAACTGACTTTCCGAGAAAACGCTTTTTGGAAGATTCAAAGAAATGGCTTTCTATTTCGATGAAGATCACTGGGCTTTTCTGGTACGAAATCTTGTATTCTCCAAAGCTTTTCTGATTACTTTTTGATTCAGAAAGATTTTTGGGTTTTTAGTCTTTGTTGATTTATTTGTGTTCATTTGATTTTGTTAGTTTTAGTTTCAGAGTTTGGATTGGATTTTGAACCAACGAAACATTCTTGTTACTTTTTTTTTATTTTTTTATTTTTTATTTCTTGTTGTTCTTTCTCTTTTTTTTATTATTATTATTTTTTTCTTGTTGTTCTTTCTCATCTCCGATTAACCAGCCAAACATAATCTTGAGTACCAAAGAACTAGGATTTCTAGGTCATGGCATTGATATTGTAATTTATTTAGTAAAAATAAGAAATCGAAAGATTTCGTAGAAATTTTTTAGTTTGGATCCAATGTAATAACAAAAGGGCTGTAATGCCGATTACCAAAATTGTGGAAGAGATAATTATAAAAAAAAAAAAAAAATTGTGGAAGAGATGAAATAATTAATCATCAGAAACATTAGGTTTTTTTTATGCAAGTTCTTTTAAACAAATTGTTCAGGTTCTTAAAAAGTAAAAAAAAATTTTTTTTTTTTTTTTTTTTTTTTTTTTTTTTTTTTTTGGCGATTGATACAGGAAGACATTGAGGCGCCTATGTGGGTCGATCTTACCTTAGAAGCCAATTCCAACAACCAAGACAAGTGAGTTCTTTTTGTTTCACTTCATAAACTTGTCTATTTTGTTCCCATTTTTTGCTTTTCACAAACTTTATGTTATATTTATAAATACCAATTACATCTTTCTCTATTGGTTACTTTGCAGTGATGATAAGTGGTTCTACACAAGCCATCAGTAAACTTACTTTTTCCCCTTTTACTTGAGCCATTATGTTGTGAGTTTTATACGTCGAATAGAATACGATTTCTGATCTGTGATTGATTTTGTTTAACTATTAGGTTCCACCACTGTTCTTCAAGCCAGTTAAAGTCTACATTTTTCCATTCTGGAGATGGGGATTCAACCCGAGACTTTGACTTGACCGGGCTATCTTCGCCAAAGCTTCCAGCTTCTGTTTCAAAATCAAGAGGAAAACAATATAGGATCAAGAAATGGAAAGGGGAAAATCAGAATTTTTCCGTTGACAAGCCACATCCAGTCAAGGTTCTAACCGGGAAATCTTCACGTGTTAAACTGGGACTGAGAGATAAAAAGAAACACAAGTTGAGCTTTATACCAAAAGAAACTTCCGTTTCAAAATCAAGTGTTGTATGTGAAAGCAGCTTGAAAGGCAAAGCCGTATCTAATGGCTCTAACCATCCATCCGCTTGTGAGGATATCGGAAGGAGTATGAGTTCTGAGGCGAACAAGACAATTGATAGCAATCCAACTAGCACCGTTACATATGAGAATGAGAGTGGTCGTCAGAAACAGAATAAGGCAAATGATGTGTCAAGCAAAGCATTTGGTCACACAAATGGGCTCTTGTCAGCTATGAAGATGGCTCTTAGAAAAAGCTATATTACAAGACCAGCAGCAAGAATGGAGATTAACAATGACGCAAGGCAAATTAAGGGGCGTAATTCTACATCCAGCAAGTCTAGTGTCGGATCTTCTTCGAACCCGAGACATGATGTTAGGATCTCAACATCTTCATCTGCACGGCCCAAAGAAATAACCCCAGAAAGCAGAAATATGGGGAGGATTACATACGTGGCCAAGAGCAAAATAAGTTCAGGCATAGTGAAGGCACCAAGAATAAAGATGGAGGAAGGAACGTCAAATAACAGAAGAGGAGGAAGCCAAGGTAATCCTGCGAAGTCAACCCACCAGGAAGCTGCAAGACAAAAGGTGATGATGAGCTATTGAAATCCGAGACCCTTTTCGAAATTCTCTCTTTTAATCCTGTAAAACCTTGAAAGCATTTTTAGAATTTTTATGATTAGCAACCATTTTTCTTCCCTACTTAATTTTGTGTTGGATTCGGGAAAGTGATAATGGAGAAAATTGGTTTTACTAAATAAGAGTCTTATATTGGACCACCAAGGATGATGATTTAACGTGAACTATAATGGTCCCTGCAGGTTCTATATCGACCTTCTCACACCAAAGCTTTGGTGCCCTCTAGAGTCAATGAGCAGGACTCGGCTGTTGCGGCTACTAAAGCCAAGAAGAAAGCGGGAACCCGTGTGATGAAGTCCAATAACTTGGTTGGTGGTGGAAAAGAGAATGTGACTGGGAAAATGTCTCAGAGTGAGAAGTGCAATGGAAGAGGCATTGCGCAGGACTCGACTGTTGCGGCTACTAAAGCCAAGAAGAAAGCGGGAACCCGTGTGATGAAGTCCAATAACTTGGTTGGGGGTGGAAAAGAGAATGTGACTGGGAAAATGTCTGAGAGTGAGAAGTGCAATGGAAGAGGCATTGCTGGTGGAGGCATAGCGGGTAGGGGTCAAAAAGGGACAAAGCAGTCTCTTTCAGCTTCAGGAAGGAATGATATGGGAGGAACCGTTTGCTTGAAGGTATAAAAGTTGATGGTAAATTACTTGTGTTTCTTGTTGTGCTTTTTATACTTGACGAAAGCATATTTCGCATTTCTCTAGTTATGTCCTCTTTTCACACAAGCTGCAATTTTAATTATTAAAAACATTTGTACCTCTTTTAAGTGGATTTCATTCTATTGAACTTCTTGAGCAGGGAAAAGGCAGGGGCCAAGGCAATTTCGAAAAACCGAGGAATTTGGTACATTTTCGATGAAAAGAACACTTCAACTTCGTGGCTTTCTGCAACAGTTTGTATAGTATACCTTACACCACTTCTAACTTGAGGAAACATGGAGTGACACAACAGATTTTTTTTTTGGCTCTCAACCACCAAGATTTTGGTTGCACGTTTTGTTGGCTAATGCTAGCTTTTGCTGGTGTTTCTCTGGCTGAGAGAACTTTCCTGTGCATATAATCTCTCCTTTCCTCTTTTTTTTTTTTTTTTTCTGTGTAAATATATGGTTGTTCTAATTCTTTCGTTGAGAATTGAGATGATCATCTTTCTACAAGAAGTCTTTTATCGGTTTCTATTACACTGATTTTCCTTTGAACTTGAACTAAATTGGTTTTCTTACCAGGTAAAGAAAGGGGGGAAAAAGTGTTTACTGTTTAGTATCCGAGCTCTCATATCTGCAAACTTCAGAATTAAAATTTTACATTTTGAGCCTTTTCTTAAAAAAACTATAAAGGAATGTACTGAGATTGAAAAGAAAAGTAAATGAACAAGAATAAGGATCATTATACTTAGTTTATCAGATGTTGTAATGGAATCAATCCAATTCCTTTCTAGAGTTTAATAAATATACGAATAAGAATTTTATCAGTGTAATTATTAAATGTACATATTTAAATAATCAATCAAGTGCATGTAAGTAAATTTGATTTTGTCTGATTAAGTGGGAATCAATAGCAAGTGGGTGCAAAGATTTCTTCTAAAGATGTCAATCTTGCCGTGCCGGCTTGCCCGGTCCATGATCGGTTAGGTTTATGCGTGTTTCATGCTATGCTTGGTTTGGCCCACTAAAATTTTGTGTCGTGCTCGTGCCAGCTTAAGATTTAAAATAATAGGCCCAGCCCAATTCATGGCCCACACCCATACGTGCTCGTGTGCGTACTCGTACCTTTATCGTGCTTAGCACAATGAATTTTTGGGCCTTCCCATTGAACCCTTAAGTCGTTTAAAAATATTTTTTTGAAAAGTTTTTAAATAAAATATAATTTAAATTAAAATATAATTTCATAAGCTATTACTAAGAACAAATAAAAAATAAAAAAAAAAGAGTTTTTTTCTTTTTTTTTTTAAGAATAAATATATATAATATCATAGTGAGAAGTGGTATTTATAGATATTATAGACAAGGCAATTTAAGGGGAAAAAAAATAGCTGTTGGAATATTTAAATATTAAAGTTGAGAATGTAAGTTTGTATTTGTCAAAAGCAATAAACATATCCAACAGCTATAATTTATTAAGAAATGCTATATTAATTGATTAATATATAGAGTTGAGATATAAATTTGTAATTGTCAAAAGCAATAAACAGAGCCAACGGCTATAATTTATTAAGGAAGGCTATATTCATTGATTAATTATCAAAGGTATATTTTATTAAAGTATGATATTATTAATCAATTATATTATAAATAATTTTTGTTGATAATTGCCACCGTTAAAATGATGAAAATTAATACAAATCATTTAATTTTTTTAAGGTCAAAATGAATTAATTTTGTTTATGTAGATATATATTTTTTAAAATTATTTACAAATATGTAAATTGTAACGATAACATAAAATTATCAATAAATTAATTTATATTTGTCGTATCGGCCCATTGTGCTCAATTGATCGTGCCATATTTATGTCATGCTCGTGCCATACTCATGCTCATGTCGTCCTCATCGTCGTGTCATGTCGTGTCAAACCTACATGCCAAAGACTATGAGCCCGGCACGGCCCACCACCTCGTGTGGTGTTTAACCCAATCCATTATAATCTCGTGTCGTGCCATGCCCCACTTAAAATATCGTGCCGTGTCATCATGCTTGATAGGCCGCTCGACCTAATTGACATCTTTAATTTCTTCATTTCCTATATTATATACGCCTAATAAATTATCATTTAAAGACGATTAAATAGAGGCGAGAATAAGTCTTATGGGCAATTTTTTTTTTTTTTTAGGGGACCCATGATCTCATTTTCCCTTCATAAAAATTGACATGTTAATGAGGAAACCGACTTTTTATTTTCTGAGGAAAGGAGAAAAGAGAAATAACACTACCGTTGAGTGAAAAATGAGGAAAGAAAATTAAAGAAATTCAAGAGGAAAGAGAATGCGATTATTTTGGTAAGGAGTAAATTAGCTACGAATGAAAATTTCATAGGACTTGGGCATTTTGTAAACCTTGCAGCTTTTGAAAGAAAAGATGAGAAAAACAAACACTATGAAACAAAAATTAAAATTTTCACCCTCTTTTATTTTCCTCACTAAATGGCCCTATCCCGTTATTCGCTAAAGCTTCCTCTGTTTCCAAGTTCTTACAGCCCGAGAATTGCAAGGTTTATGCATTGAAAGCTCTAAAGATTCAAAGCTTGAAACGCTGACCAAGAAACCCAAAAAAAAAAAAAAAAACCAAAAAAAAAAAAGAGCAAAACTACGAAATTCTACTTTCATCAGAAAGCGACCTTGAGATCCATAGCGGTTGTGTATTCTAATTTGCACCAATCCGATGAAGTGAAATCAGAGGCCCAGCATAAAAAATAAAAAATAAAAAATAAAAAAATTCCAAGTTAAGTACAAATAATCATTTCGTGCATCACGGAAAAATAAAATAAAAATACAACCCAAATTTACACAGAATTAGAGAACCAAAAGTTTAACAAATTATCCAACCATCTACAATAATTTTAGCATACACGGCCTTCTTGTGTTCCTTGCAACCACTTGTAAAACTTCCTCGCAGTCTACGATGTGGAGATAGTGGTTCATCTCAACATCTCTTACCTCCTTAGAGCACCATAATTTCTTGTTACCTACGAAATGAAGAGACGAAAAAGATCGTAGCCAAATATGAATACGGACAAGAACTAAATACATGAAATGAAAAGGACCGAGCTGATGTGAACTCACAAGCATAATATGCCACTGATAAGGATATGAATCAGATGATCATATTGTAAAAAGAGACCACACACAGGAAAAAGTGAAGGAAAAGGAACACAATCTAACCCGAGGTTGGGGCTTGTTTCGTTTCTTTGCCGCATCATCGTCGTCGTCGTCGTCGTCGTCATCCCTGCTCATAAGCATTTGGTGCACTGCAGGGTTGTCTGATGCCCTTCCCCGCTTAGAGGATTGTGTAGAACCTCTACTTCTTCCCCTTGGAGCAGCCCTTTTGCGTCCTTTGCCTTTGACACTTTCATCATTTTCCTTCAAAAGACGAAGAAAATTTGAATACGTGGAGTAAGCACATAAGGAAGCACAAAACTTTTTTTTTTTCTCAGGCTGCTATACATAGACAACTGTATCATCGCTTGCCTAATTATACAAGAACCTCAGTAATAGAAGTATAATTGCTATGCAACGAAATATTCATGCACAATGCAGATGACAAATAAACTTAAGAAAAAGATAATTAAAAAAAAGAAAAAAAAAAAAGGTGTGAGCTGCTTCCTATTCAACTAAACTTTAAACCGATTAAATTTTTTTGTTTATCGTTTTTTTTTTTCTTTAAACCTAGAAAAGAGCTAGCTTCTTCCAGTTCAACTCAAAATTTGAATGGACTAAGATGGTAGTTCATACCGAACTGTCATCAATCTCATCAACTTCAAATTTCCCTGCATCTTCACTCGAAGCAGAATCCACATCTGCCTTGTCATCAGCAATACTTTGAACTGCAGCAGTTGCAGCAATTGATGCAGATCTGTAGAAGCAAGGTGAATGTCTTGATGTGTTTAGTGCAATATAAAATAAAGTGCAGAAGGCTTCTAATTACATGCATGCATTTAATGACTTTCGCATAATATACCCGTGCAGAATCCATAGTCACGGTACTATTGATGCTTAACATCAAATTGGATTTGCTTACACTTTCTTAAACTTGAAAGGACTACCAAAGCTTTACAATCTTCATGGCCTTGTTATTATTTATTCTTTATCTAGTAATAAGATCAAAAGATAACCTCTGAGAAGGGCGAAATCCGAGAGCTGCATCAAGAGTTGTCTGCTTCAAGGTACCGGCAGCACTACCCCTGCCGCTACCTCTGCCCCTACCCCTTCCTCTTGCGGTGGTTTTTCCTTTTCCAATTTCTGAAGCAGCAGCAGATGGCCCAGAAGACCCCTTCCGGCCTCTAGCAGTCGATTTCAAGCCAGGCATCTGTGTTGCGTCTTCATCATCGCTAAAGGAAACTGCACTTCTGACTCCTGCACTACTATTACTTCTGAAATCCTACAAAAGTTTAGTACAGTAAAGTAAGCAGATGTTCAAAGTTCCAAAAGCTAGAAATGAGCCTCTCAACTTCCGCAAAGCAGGAAAAAAAAAGTACCTCTGAGTATTGAAAAGCTGAAGAGAGCTGTTCACTATCCTTTGAGCGAGTAGACCTTTCCTTGACGCGTTCCTGCAGAAGACAAGCACATATACATATAGTTGAAACAAATATAGTGGAAGTAAAACCTCCCTAAAGCAGACATTAGGAAATCAATAATGTAAGCTAAAAAGACGCGTATAAAAATTGTGAACTTCTTGCCTCCAAGCATTCTCCAACTTTAAGAATCAAATCTTCCTCTTCAAATTTCAGGGTGTCGTCCTTAGCAATTCTATTCTGTAGGGAATAAAGAAATGAGCAGTTATTAGCATCAGTTGAATGAAGACAATGAATAAACAGAGATGTTTCTCTATATGTAAACGTAATTGTTTGGTCATAAAATATATTAATATGATCTTGTATCAATTACCCTAACAGGTTAACAACTCAAAAATATTTAATTATATATATATATATATATATATATATATATATATATATATATATATATATATATATATATATATATATATATATATAGATATATTTGGCGTGTAATGAAGATGAATCCTTGACTACCCAGTATAATCCTGCAATGGGAAAATACAGACACCATTTACTTACTCGTGTTTCCTGAAGATTGTATTGAATACAAGAGAAGAAAGCCATTTTGTCGTCCTTATTCACAAAATTGTGTAATGCAACATCCAGATCATTGACAGGCAGGATTTCCATTTTCTGCATGATCAAATATTGCCGTGAGCCATCGAGTCTTAACACAAAGTCTGTCATGCTAATAAGTCCTTGTTATTGTTCATTTGAATTTCTTTTTCGAAAATATTTGAATCATTTCAATACTTATGCGAACTTGAATTCACTTAGGAAACAGAAAGTAATCCCATAAAAGGCCCACTACGCCTCAAAGACTTGTATTAAGTTGCAAAGTGGATTTTGTTTTTAACTGATAGTTGTCTTTGATTAAAATACAAATAAACTGTGATACAAATAAAAGTGAAAGAACTAAAACAGTAGGATACCAAATTATTTTCAGCAACTAGAGCCTCTATGTTTTGTTGATTAAGCTCTTCCGGGCGAAGTCGTTCAGAATCATTGATTTTCCCTACCAAAAAGAAAGAAGACAACAATTGGTACCGTATTATTCAAATGAACACACTTGTTTTGGAAATCATTGCAACTGTAAGTAGTTTGATAGACAATTAACTTACCTGCAGTTTGACCCTTTTTTGAAGCCTTAGAAAATATAAGAATGTCTTGAGGGTTTGCAACCTACAATATGTTATAATTAATAATTTACTTCCCAAGCGTAATGGTCATGAAAATAAACCACTAGCTTACTAATACAGGATGGGTGGAAGATTGAAGATACCTTTCCCACATACTTTTGACCAAATCTTTGCGCATTGATCGTCATAAATCCAGAATAGTCTACCTGCCGAATTAACTGACCAAGTTAACTCTCAAGCGAGAAAGAGACTAAAGAGCCATTTATCAGAAATTATATTGTCCAAAATAAAGACATGGGAATATTTAAAAAGTTGAGCATAAGACCAGTCACAAATTGGTCACCTTGCCCCTAAAGAAAAAGCAACGAGAATTATATCTAGCAGAAGATAAAGATGGTGCAAAAAAGGTACGAGTAAAGTTATACATGAAGGCAAAAGGGGAAGAAGACATAGAAAAGCAGTAGGCTAAGGCTTATCCTATTCTTCTTCCCATTTCTATTTTATTTTATTTTTCATTTCAAATTCAGATGTCACTTGTCAGACGACTACATTCCATGTACATGTACTACTAGAAACATTTAAAGATTAAAAAAAAAAAAAAGCAAATATGAGCTTGCTCCAAAGGTGAAATATGGGACAGACAACCGATCCAAAAGAGAAACAAGTGCGCAAGTATGGATCACATTCTGCCACAATAGCATTTCAAGTATCAGCAGAAATTACCTTTATACGGATTAGTGGAAGTTTGAGCTCTGACTTATCCACATATTTTTTTCTGGACTTTTCTATCAGATTTCCCACCTGAAAGCAATTTATAGTTGTAAGGTTACTAATTATGTATAACATGCCACCAAGAAAATAAGAGAAACGAGGAAATATACTAAAAGAGAAATTGAATTCGGCTAATATAACTTCAAAATGTACATACCACTTTGTCCAAGTGTACAAGAATTGAATTTTGATCATTAGGATTAATATCAGGTTCATCCTTTAATACAACCTGCAACAGGAAAATTGAGTTATTTATCAGAACAGTAGTCGTGCAGTATGTTAGGTTCCTGCACACTCGAATAATCCCACAGTAGAGTAACAAGAGAAATTGCTTGAAAATGGGTCAAGTTCCTTTTATTAATTCTTACTAACGAGTGAGAGGCTGGTCGCGACAGAGAAGGGGCTAACGGTGCTGCAGGAAGTGGTGCAGTCCCTGACGGCCGAGCAGATTCCACAGATCCGGGAAGAAATCGGTGGGATGAGGGAGGAGATGAGAAACCAGATCGGCGGGGTCCACGAGGTACTGTGATTTCCCATATTTCCACTTCCCTCCCCTGTTTCCAGCGATTTCCCCCTACGGCCCCTCTTCCTAGCATAGATTAACGTAACAACCTTGTCCTCAAGGTTGAAAGAGGGAAACTAGGAGCGGATGGCAGCAACAGGCTCCCAAGTGGATTCCCAGTCCGGCAGGCCCTGCCACTTAATCAGCACCTCTGGTTCCTCGCGACCTCCCACCATCACCACCTGAGAGGCCAACACGTTGGTTGGACGGACACAGAGCTCCATATCGTCCGTCAACTGAGCGGGAGAGGTTGGACCTTAGCCACAGCCCCCTTAAAGGGCTTCAGCTGAGACACGTGGAAGACCGGGTGTATGCGAGTATTGTCAGGCAACCTCAAGCAATACGCCACTGGTCCAATGCGTTCCACCACTTCGAAGGGCCCATAGAAGCTCGGGCTGAATTTCTCATTGACGCGGCGAGCCAAGGATTTTAGCCTGTAGGGCCGCAGTTTGAGCAGGACCAACGCACCTACCTCGAAGCTTAACTATCTCCGATGATTATCGGCGAATTTCTTCATGCGTTACTGGGCCAATAACAGGTGAGATTTCAGCAGATCAAGCATGGCGTTACACAGGGTGATCTATTCCTCCACGGCTGCCACCACGCTAGGAGAGTCTTGGAAATGGTAGAGAGCCGGGGGATCACAACCATACACAATGCAGAAGGGGGTGAACTTGGTGGAAGCATTAAAGGTCGTGTTAAACCAATATTCTGCCCACGGAAGGAAGGTTGACCATTGCCGAGGCTTATCACCTGCGAAACAACGCAAATATGTTTCTAAGCAACGATTTACTACCTCTGTTTGCCCATCCAATTCGGGGTGGTAGGCCGAACTCGTGTGCAGCTTAGTGCCCTGTAACTTGAACATCTCCCGCCAAAAATTGCTAATGAACATGGCGTCCCGATCACTCACAATGGACCGCGGAATTCCGTGGAGCCTGACAATGGCGGAAATGAATAAAGTGGCCACCTGCTTGGCTGAGAATGGATGGGCCACGGGGCAAAAATGGGCGTATTTTGACAAGCAGTCCACCACTACCAGAATGGTGTCGAACCCTCCGGACTTGGGCAGACCCCCAACAAAATCCATGGAAACGTCATCCCAAACTTGGGTGGGGATCGGTAGGGGCTGCAGGAGGCCGGCCGGGGACAGTGCCTCTGTCTTGTTTCTCTGGCATATCTCACAATTAGCCACATACTCCCGGATATAGCACTTTATACCTCGCCAAAAAACCACCGCGACAGCCGCTTGTAGGTGCGGACAAAGCCCGAATGCCCACCAATGACCGAGTCATGAAACTCGTGGACCAGCCGAGCTCTCCACCAAAACTAGCATCTCTTTGTAAAACATCAATCCGTTCTTCAGCGCATACCCCTCCTCAACCTCTCCTTTTTCTAGTTTCGATATGATGGCCACCAACCTGGTTTCGTACGTTGCTCCAACTGGATAGTAGCAAAATCCCACGTGTGTGGTATTGTGAAAGCAGCGAGGGAAGCCTCAGCCCAGTCTCCCCTGCGGGACAGTGCATCGGCGACGCGGTTGGAGGCCCCCAACTTGTACTGCACCTCTAGATCATAACCCAAAAGTTTATACACCCAGCGAAGCTGCTCGGGAGGGAGTTGGCGCTGATTCAATAGGAACCGCAAGCTTTGTTGGTCAGTGCGGACCACAAAGTGACGTCCCAAAAGATAATGTCGCCATTTCTGAACCGCCAGAACCACCCCCATGAGTTCTCTCTCATACACCGACTTCAATCGGGAAGGAGGGGCTAGAGCTTTACTGAAAAAGGCAATGGGCCTATCCTCTTGCATCAACACTACCCCCAACCCACTACCCGAAGCATTAGTCTCGACAATGAACTGCTTCGAGAAGTCAGGCATGGCCAGAACCGGAATTCGAGTCATAGCCAACTTGAGCTCGTTGAATGCTCGACATGCTTCCTCTGTCCAGACAAATTCCTTCTTCTTGAGCAGCTCCGTTAGTGTGGTCGTGCGATCATCCCATAGCCCTTGACAAACCGCCTGTAGTAACTAGTGAGCCCCAAGAATCCTCGCACCTCCCGGGCGTTGCTCAAAGGGGGGCCAAGAGGTAATTGCCTGAATCTTGGAAGGGTCGACAGCCACCCCACGAGCTGAAACGATGTGGCCCAGGTATTCTAATTGGGGCTGGCCAAAACAACATTTCTTTTTATTGGCAAATAACCGTTCGCGCTGCAAAACTTGAAGGACCACGGCGAGGTGTTGGCGGTGTTCCTCCCATGAGCGGCTATACACAAAATGTCGTCAAAGAACAAGAACAAACTTCCGAAGATATTGACGGAAGATCCTATTCATAAGGGCTTGGAAAGTGGCCGGGAAGTTCATCAAGCCAAAGCGCATGACGAGAAACTCATAGTGGCCCTCATGCGTTCGAAAGGCCGTTTTCTCAATATCGGCCTCATGCACCCTGATTTGGTGGTACTCTGCTCGCAAGTCTAATTTTGAAAATACTACCGCCCTATTGAGTTCATCGAGCAATTCATCGATCATTGGAATCGGAAACTTGTCAGGGATTGTAACTTGGTTCAGCGCGCGATAGTCTACACAGAAACGCCAACTTCCGTCTTTCTTTTTGACTAAGAGGACCGGGCTGGAGTAAAGGCTGCTACTAGGCCGTATGATACCAGAAGCCAACATGTCTGTCACCAACCGTTCTATCTCTCCCTTCTGAATTTGCGGGAATCGGTAAGGCCGAACATTGGGCGGATCGGTGCCCTCCCTCAGAATGATCCTGTGGTCTCGTCCCCGGTGTGGTGGCAGCCACGTGGGATTATCAAACACCTCCTCGAAACTGTCCACCACCATCCGCACGTCCTCCGGTACCGCTCTGTGCTCCTCTTCTAGCCACTGCATCGAGAGTTCACAAACTTCAACCAATACCCCTACTCCGGCCGGTGACAGAGTCCTGACTAAGGAACTCACCTTGACCGGTGCATAAAACAAGCTTGGGTCACCACGCCAAACCACCCAAGTTGGCCCTGCTCGGAATTTCATTAGGAATTTAGACCAATCAGCCCGTACCTCTCCAAGGGTGCTGAGCCACGACACCCCTAAGACCAAATCAACCCCGCCCAATTCAAAGGAAAAGAAATCCTCCACCACCAAGTGACCTTGGATCCAGACACTAACCTCCCGACATATTCCCCGATTGCTTGACGCTCAACCCATTGCCTACCAAAATAGTGACTTACCGTGGAGTCCACTGGCAAGTGTAGCTCTCGTACCACCGTTTCTGAGATGAAGCTGTGGGTGGCGCCGCTGTCCACCAGCACCACGACCTCCCGGCCACCAATCCGTCCCCGGAGCTTCATAGTGTTGGAGGAGGACACCCCCCGCATCAAGTTTAAAGATAGATCCACCTTTGCGTTCGAGATCTCCTTTCCTTTGTCCTCCACCGCCAACGGCTCCCGGCCATCCTCACTGTCCTCCCCCGATTCGTCTCCTTCGTCTGCCATAATGAGAACCTGTAACTGCCGGTTCTTGCATCGGTGTCCCGGGCTGAACTTCTCGTCGCATTTGAAGCAGAGCCCTCGGGCTCTCCGCTGCTGGATCTCCTCCTCAGTGAGCCGCTTGTACGCCGCCGCCTCACCAGAAGGGGGATTCGACCCTACACCACTACCCAACCGAGCTCCCTGCCCTAGCGCCACCTCATGCTAAGGTTTGGATCAAAGGGGGCCCTCGGGTGGGTAGGAACCCGTGTTGAGGACTTCAGAGGATCCCCCAAAGCGCCCTACATACTCGGATATGGGCCCACGGCCCATACCTTCGGACCCGATCCGCTGCCTCATTGCGGGCCTCCACCTGCTGGGCCAGATCCATCATCTTGTGCAAGCCATTGGGCCGGTGCATTTTCAGTTCAGCCCGAATATCCTCCCGGAGCCCATGAAGGAAAGCCCCTTTGAATATGGCTTCAGGGACTCCCTGCATCTGCGCCGCCGTTGATTCAAACTCGTCCCGATATTCCGCCACCGACGTTCGCTGCCTGAGAGTCATCAGTTGCTCCACTGGGTCGACTTCCCTGGCACGACCGAAACGACGCAGCACAGCCGCGTGAAGTTCACGCCAAGATCTGAACGGTTCTTGCGCGTCTGCCCATTGGAACCATCCCAAAGCTCGCCCCTCCACGCATACCGAAGCCACCACCACCCTCTCTTCCTCCTCCACTTCATTCATAACAAGGTACCGGTCGGCCCTAAACACCCATCCTTGGGGGTCCTCTCCCTGGAATATTGGCATCTCCAGCCTCCTTCCCCGGTGTTCAGCCCGTCCTCTCGGCAACGGTGGCGTCTCTTGCTAGTATTCCCGCTCGTATCGCCGAGGTTCTTCATTGCGCGGAGGCGGAGGCGGCGACACTGGCCGAACGTTCGGGCCCGGCCGATGAAGGTCGGGGAATCGCTGTTGACCCGCGTCGAACCGAGGCGGAGGGGTTTAGGGAGAGGCTCTATCATAGCCTCCACAATCTACAACGCCTCGTAGAACGTATCCATTCGCTGTTCGAGTCGAGACATCACCTCCTCTGGTGGACGTCCGCCAGAAGCTTCCGCCATGGATCAACCGCTCTGATACCAAACTGTTAGGTTCCTGCACACTCAAATAATCCCATAGTAGAGTAACAACTCGTAACTAACTTGACACATCAGCACCCATTTCCCATATTTCCACTTCCCTCCCCTGTTTCCAGCGATTTCCCCCTACGGCCCCTCTTCCTAGCATAGACTAACGTAATAGGAGGCCTAACACAGTAGCAATACCAAACCAAATACGATGAACGAATGATATATAACCAAATTACTTGCTACCAAACCAAATACGATGAACAAAATATATAACCAAATTACCTCTGTATACTCAAAAGGCCTAACTGATGTCAAAGGTATCTTGGTTGGACGATATTGATTCCCCTACATGACAAATGCATCAATCACTAACACGGTTGGAAAGTAAAAGCCAGCCGTAGATGATGTTGCTTACGATTGTTGCTTAGGATGTGAATTTAAAATGGAAAAGGAGACAACCTTTATTTCTAACAGAAGCACGTGCTTTGGCTTTGATTCTCCATCAATAAGTGATGTAGCAACTGAAGAACCAGGTTGTGTAATGTGAAATCCCATTCCTGGAACTTCCTGTCAAAAAGCGATTTATCTTCACTTTATTGAGTATATCCCATTATCCCACATATAGATTATAGGCAATCAATAAAAATACTAGAGTTACAGATGCACATCAACACTAGCACTTGGAGATCCATATATTATGTATGTTCACGAGAAAGACTTTATATCACCGCACCTGAGGGTCAACAAGACATTCATGTTCATGACCCCACACAATGAAGTCTAGGAAGCGTGGCAAAAAGTGCTCATTGATTGCATTTTTTGGGTTTGCCTTTATTCTGCAAAGCAATAGAACATTGAAGATCAAACATGTTGGTATCTTAATTGAAGTAACATAAAGATCATATGAAAGTTCTACGTAAATGGTCACCCTCCCCATGCACAAAACTGTTCTGATGAAGGACCACAGTGTTAAACCAGCATGACACTTACGACCCTGTTAAGTCTTAAACTTTAATTCTTATCTCATGTACAGCCTGTAGTCTCTCTCTCCTTATATTTTCCTCACACTGGAAGGAAATGTCACAGACATGAGGCGTCTACACACATGCGAGCACATAAAGCCCGATGAACAGTGCTAGCTAGCAGTAGACCAGTCTAGCCCCGAGACACGCCCCACCCCCAACAAACCACACACACACACTCACCAACACTGTTAGGATCTCCTAACAAAAGAATGGAAATAAACACAGAACGAACTGAATCTCTTTCATTGAATTGAACGATTCAGCCAAATGGCTTCTGTAAAATGAACAACAACCCAGCAGATTTAGAGCATCTGCCCCCCTCCCTACTTGGACTAAGCTAAGAAAATTCCCAATCAACACCTACCTCTCTTTCTATCTGTCTCCTTTTATTTACAACTAATCTTCCACTAACCAATCAGAAATCAGAATCCTTCTTACTAACTTGCAACAACCCGAACAGTTTCCTTACTTACAATACAACCGACTAACTCAACCCTACTGACAAACATTCCTAAACCCATGCCTCCTTATTCCTCTGAGCATAAGGGAAATGGATAAGGGCCTATCAAAACCTGTTCTGATGAAGCACGAGAATGTTAAACCACTCTGATACTTGAACACCCTCTTGAGCTTCCGGTCTCATGAATTGCACAGCATGAGGTGTCTGAAAAATTATTTAAATAAAAAAAACAACCAACCATCTGAAACTGCTTTTAGTGTCAGTAACAACTCGGAGGAAAAACCAACATTGCGCACATAATACCTGAAACATTCTATTAAGCCTTTCATCTCTGATGTTTCCAAGACCATACAGAGCCACAGCTGTTGAACCCTGCAATTATAAGGAGTTATTAGTGCTACAAAAAGTGACTAGCAAATATGACTTATAAACTATTTATAAACCAACAGACCTTCCTAATAAGAATAGGGTAGACGGTGATCTGACCAACACCAGAACCCCCAAGGACCATTTTTCCAAAATAGTTCACAAGATTGCACACTGATAGAATATCAACTGCGGAGAGGTTATCCTGTCAATAAATTACCATAATAAGGATGGAAATTATCAATGGTTTAAAACATGTATCCATATAACTACAAAGGTGAAAGAAAGAAAAGAAAGGAAAAGTTTAGTGGAAAGTGAATTTTAATGATACAAAGAGATATATCACCAGCCCAATGAGCAAAAAGAGGGAGAAAAAAAACCTGCCATCCTATTGACAAGACGATATCATGTTCAAAGTATTAATGTAAGTTGTGTTTTACTTCTCGTTGTTTCCAGCCTTGGTAGCAAAAAGAGAGCCAAAAAATAAATAAATAAATACTGTGGAGATTGGGTGGCAGATCAACTGAGATTTACAGAGAAAAACATTTCAGAGTGCTCTTGGATCTCTGGATACCACAGACAGGCACAGGAGGGCTTGATTTATTAGGTATACTTCTTACCTTAAATATATGTGAACACCCACTTAAATGTGATTTACAAGAATATGCAATAAATCAAGAACAAACATAAATAAAATATTCCATTTTACCATAAATCATACCACTCCAGCTGGATCATCATGATTTCCATGAATACTGAACACTGGCAAGCCAACATTGAAGTTTGGATCTTCATAATTTACACGACCAAATCTGTCAAAGAAGCACATTGCCATAAACAAAAAGAAAAAAGGTTCCAACTACCAACAATAACTTTTCAAAGTTTAAATTATTGAAAATAAGATGAAATCAACTAAACATTTAGTCAGAGTTGCCTGTAATACACCTGCACGAGAGTGTTTGTTCGTTTGTGCAAAAGCCAAAGAATTCAACACTCAGAGTTCAAGGATTTTTCTTTCCTCTTTTTTGGTGTTTGCCAGAACAACCAAGGAAATACTAATGTCTAACAAAAAATAAATAAACAAATGAGGGTGGGGTGATTTGGCAGGTCTCCTGCGTGCAAAATATTCTCAACTAGTGCAATGAACATGACAGAAGTTGCAGAGCAAACAAAATAATATTTACGTGTCTGGAAAATTCACAGTCTGGTCGCTAACAACTTGGAACTGTATTGGCTGATCATTGAGGCAATGACGACGGAGAATCTCAATGGCTTTAACTAGTGTTGACCTCGAGGGCTTATTCTCATGGAAAAGATCACCACCTAGAAGTAAAAAATCCACCTGATAACGGATGGATGTCAGTGCCTATATATATAAAAAAAATGAAAATATATGATTACACAAAAATAAATGCAAAATGAAAACCCCTTCAGATTTTAAGCTAAAATTATTGGCAATGGCAAAGTGGTATTACATATGAGCGATTACCAATAAAATTTAAAAGAGAAATCAGCACCTTCTTTTGGGATGCTATCGAGCAAATCTCTTCAAATGCCTGGAACGAATCGTGCCGCCGAATTTCATCTTTCTCCATATAGCCCAGATGGCAATCCGTAGCAACCAGTATTCGTAGCGTATTGCTAATCTCCTCCCTAAAATTGCTATTGTTATCGATGAACACAAAGACACTTCTGTCCAGAAAACTAAAAAATTGCTTCATTGATTAATCTTCTCCTACACTATAGACGATATACTATTCCAAAACCAGTTTTTTCGCGTTGCAAACAATCCGATCATTTGCGGACTTGAGCTGTGTGATATTTCTGAAGAGGGAAGATTTTATTTTCGAAATAATCAAAAGCGTCCTCCATCCAAGAGTTCAAAAGTGCTCTTGTTAGGTTTTGTCTGATGCAAGAAAATCAAGCGTTTTCCCCAAAATTATTCTAAAAGTTTGGATTCTCAATATGCCGAAACCTAAATAATCGGTAAATCTACTATCTCGTAAAGTTAGCTCTTAATAAGTATATTACGCTTTTTTATTTTTCCATTTTACACTGGAGCATTTTCCTAGTAGCCAAACACAGGATTAAGAAAGAAAGGATTTCACCTGGACAGGTCCCCCATGTTACAAATTTCCACCTTTCGAAGTTCAAACCTACAACAGAGTAGAATCACGAAAGAAAAAAAAAAAAAGACTTTAGATTCCAACCTTCAATTTGACCATGTCAATACCACTAATATTTCCACGAAATACTTAAAAAACTTGATCGCCCAAAAACTAGAAAACTCAAAAGTTCAAAATTGATAAACAAAATTTGCCCTAAAAGTGCCAGAATTGAGCAAAAAATGCTAAAACTCTCGGTCTACAATCGGCTAATACCGAAATTCATTTAAAATAAACATCATCGAAAATATGAGAACCTCAAGCAAGATCTATAACCAGAATTATGACCCTAAAAATGCCATTTTCTAGCGAGCGGATGGTGATAAATAGTAAGAACCCAAAAATGATACAGAATGCTTCCCAACTATGAATGTTGTGAGATAGGGGGTTTTGCTTCACTTTCTCACATTTTCTCGGTAACCAAACAAACGATGAGAGAGCATTTTTACCTGTCTAATGTGTCGTAAAGAGGAGCGTGAGTGAGTAGAAGAGCAGACTCGGCGAAGCTTGCATAACAAAAATGGAGAGAGGTGGCGGGGAATTTTAAAAGAGACGGAAGGAAAGATGGAAAAAAGTTAAAAGGACTCCAGGCGAATGACAGGACAAAGGCATTCTCTTCTCTCTCTCTTTTCTTTTTTTTTTTTTTTTTTTTTTTTTTTTTGTCCTTTTGGAGAATAACACTTACACCCCGTGGTTTGCTTGGCCGTTCAGTTTGTTAATTCGAGTTGATATGTGATGTTGTATAAGAGTTTTTTTTATAATAAAAAAGTTAAATGTGACTGTTTCTGAGAGCTTTTTTACTGTAGCAAAACTCGAATCAGCAAAAAAAATGAGGCCTTAGAGTTTGAACTTGAGTTTGAACTTGAGTTTAGAGTTAAAATCTGAGTTTAAGGCCTCGTTCATTTCACCAATTCGAGTTTTTAATTTTAAGTTTTTACAGTAAAAAGCTCTCAAAAAATGTCACATCTAACTTTTTTTACTATAGTAAAAAATTCTCAGAAAATGTCACATCTCAACTCGAATTGAAAACTCGAATCCGCGAAGTGAACAGGGCCTTTAGAGAGACACTCATTGGAAAATTGAAAAAAATAGTAGGTGCATTTAGAATTAATTTTAAAATGATTTTATTTTTAATAAAAAGTAAAAATAAGATTATTTTGATAATTATTTTGAGATTAATTTTAAAATTATATTTGGTTAGTTTTTTAAGAAATTATCTTGAGTATAATAAAAAAATAAAATCATGTTTATTAATTAATATATTATAATATTATTGTTAAAAGGACTCCAAGCAAATGACAAGACAAAGGCATTCTCTTATCTCTCTCTTTGTTTTTTTTAGTCCTTTTGGAGAATAACAATTATACCCTGTGGTTTGCTTAAATTAGAGAGACACTCATTTGAAAATTGAGAAAAATAGTAGGTGCGTTTAGAATTAATTTTAAAATGATTTTATTTTTAATAAAAAGTAAAAATAAGATTATTTTGATAATTATTTTGAGAGTGATTTTAAAATTATATTTGGTTAATTTTTTAAGAGATTGTCTTGAGTATAATAAAAAAGTGAAATCGTATTTATTAATTAATATATTATAATATTGTTGTTAACTATTAAAAAATAAAAATAGAAAAGTGAAAACAACTTTCAACTGTTTTCTAGTTTCTTCACAAAAACCATTCTCATTGTTTTCATTTTTTATTTTCATTTTCAAAACATTTGCTAAACAAAAGTCATTACGTTTTCATTTTCATTTTTTGCTTCTCGAAATACGTGAAAACCGTTTTCAAAAACGGTTCCAAACACGCACAATATGTTTGTTTCATGACTAAAGGTGTTTGTTTCACAACAAAGTTAAGAACCTGAGTTGTGTTTGTAAGAGAAAAATATTATAACAAAAAAGTGAAATTTGAATTTTTTGAGAGAAAACACTGTAATGATATAACTTGAGTCATGAAAAGAACACACTCGTTTGTAAGGTATACTCAAATCATGATTTGGGTTCTTTGGTGAGAACTGTTGGGAGTGGTGTCCCGAAAGCATGAGATATAATTAAGGATTTTATTATTTAATTAATAAAGTAGAAATTTCATTATTTATGTGCATGTATTATTAAATACTTTATGAATGTCATTGAAAATTTCACGACTATTTATGTGACCTTAAATATGGTATATAAGTGTTATATACTAAATGATACTATTTAAGGATAATAATTTATACATAAAGTTCATAATGGTTATCGATTAAAGTTTAGAATTTTTAATTGATCACATTATTAATACATGTCATTCACATTCTGAAGGGAACGATCTTATCCAATCGTTGATATGTCAAGATATCAAAATGAGTGTATTTTACATAATGAGATTATATAGGACCGTGACACATGCACAATATAAATTTTTAATAATTTTCATTAAGTATAGAAATTCTTATTGAGTCTACTGATGGTCATATATAGAATGATTTTAATTCCAAGTTATTAGCATACTCATATTTATAAATTTGTGTCTTTTGACTTACTCGGTAAAGATCTCGACACACTTAGATCTTATCCTTGTATCTTGTAGACATTGAGAAATAGGTGGCCGGAATGCTAATATTACGAGATGAAATCCCTTCCTTTTTTAGAAAGAAATTCATTTTGACCTCAAACTTGGAATCCATTCTCTCGAGGATTTATTCGGTACTTGGATTAATAGGAACTCCGATTCATGAATGTATTTTATGAATCACTATCCATTAGAGAATCAATGGTACTCAAGGATAATGATGTAATTAGATAGGTTAACGGATTTCACCTAGCTCTAATTATGAATTATTTATGGATGATTGATCTATATGAAGTGACTATATCAAATGGACGTTTCACATATGTAATTAATTGTCTATAATATCAAGAGTGCAATTCTAAGTTTATAGTGGAATAACTTTTGGAATTAATAGAATTAATTAATTAATTAAAGAGTTTAATTAATTATTAATTTTATTGGAGCTTGATATTATGGGTCTATGAGTCCTCTCATCGTCTTATTAATTCTACGAGACACTAAAGGTAAAACAATGAAATTAGAATTATAAAATTCTAAATTATATCACTCGCATATAATTAATTAAAAATTAATTATATATATTAAATAATGTGATTATTTAATTTATTTTTTAGAAAGCACAATGTGGTGGGGCCACATAGGCCACACGCCCAGTCACTGGTTGCAGGGGCGTGTGGCATTGGTTAAATCCTGGGAAGACTTAGTTGCTTGCTCTCTAAGTTTTTCTTTTTACTTGTTTGTCAAGTTGTCCAATTAAAATTCAAATTTAAGGAAAGATTGACTTTAATTAGAATTTAAATTTGAGCCAAAATTAGAAACTGGATAAAGGAGAAATATTCTCCTTCCTTATTTATTATAAGCGCCATACACAGAGTGTTGGACACTATAATGGCCAAATTTGACAAGGAAAAAGGAAAGAGAATATTTCAAACGGGAAACTATCTCTAATTATTCATGAAACTTTTTCTTATGTGATAAGGAACACTTTCCATAGATGTCTGTGAGACAATCTATAAATAGGGGGATTGCAGAAAATTGTAGAACACAATTTTTGCTCTCCTTCCCTTGTATTGGCCGAATTTTAGAGAGAGAAAAGCTGGGAGAAAAGTTATTCCATTCTCAGTTCCACATCGTACATGTGTTGATGTTTGTGAAAGACAAGAGAGATGAGTGATAACGTTTATTGTGTTTTCAGGTGTGCCCACACACAGAGTCTCGTGAGAATACAAGAATTGATGAGGAAGCCTTGTAGTAGTCTGAGGAACAGGAGCACTTGGATTGTTCGTGGTCAAAGACTAGAGTTATCCTCCTAATCGGTCATAAGGTATAATTCCTGAACTAAATTAATTAGATTAATTTATTCGTTGTAAATTAATATATTCTATAACTTTCACAAAAGGTTTATGAAAATTTTTATTCGGACCCAATCTGTGTTTCCACGCTTCTGCACCTAAATTCGATTCGGAAACCAACAAGAGCTCTGTGAGAGAGGAAATTTTAGAATTCAAACTCTTTGTGAGATAAAAAACATTGTATCAGAATTATGAGTTTGGTTTGAGTATAGCTTCCAAACAACCTAAGTTAAAAACTTGAGTTGTGTATGTGAGAGAAAAACATTGTAGCAAAAAAGTTAAATTTAATTTTTTATGGGAGAAAGCACTATAGGAATAGAACTTGAGTTGTGAAAAGAACAAGACTTTTATGTCGACACAACTCCCTCACCCCTATATAAAAATAATTTACATATTTGTACCCTAAATTTATATGGTTTTAGTAACTTGTCTCTTAAACTTTTAATTTTTAGAAAGTTGCCCCCTCAACTAGTAAAATTGTTGTAATATGCCTTATTTTAATAATAATTGTGTTAAATTAATGGCTAAAAAGAACGTTTAACGAAAAATTCTAACATCCCAATTCTAATGTAACACAAATCTTTCAACAAATCTTTCAATTTCTCAAATTTTAATCCCTCAAATCTAATAAAAGATTTGAGCAAATTTAATAAAATGAGGCACATTATAACAATTTTATAAGTTTAGTAGGTTGTTTGTAAAAATTAAAGATTTGAAAAGTAATTTGCTAAATCACGAAAAGTTCATGAGCAATTCTACTAAAAATCCTAAAAGTAAACAGTTATCCAAATAATTTCAACAATTAATCTTGTTGTTGCATTGATGTTAGCCTTTTATAATGTTATTTTTACGATTACAATGTAAGTTATACTCGTGAGTGTCTAAAAATCACTTAACTTGATTTTTATTGGTAAAGGTTAAAAACGTCATTTGCAGGTTATAAATGCACCTAGGATCGTTTTTTAATGCAAGGAGGTGAAAATCACTATAATAATTACTATGCTATTACATACTTATAATAATTTCTATGCCATTTTATTGTTCGTAGACCATTTTATTAAAATTGATATATATAAACTCTAGTCTCATAAATCTGTGTACTTTAATTAAGAACTTTTAGAGTGCATATTTTGAATTTTTACTTATTACTCTTAATTAATATCTTTTTAACTAATATATTTATTTAATTAAAAAGAAATTAAGTAAGAATAATAGATAAAACTCTAGATCCATATATTATAAAAAGTATTTATCTCATTTCCCTTTAAGCTTGCCTAGATTATTATAAGGGAGAAACACATAAATGTCACTCAAATGATGCCATTTCTATAGTTAGGCCACACAGTGACATAAGATTAAAATCTATCTACCTTAGTTCATTAAAAAAATCTATGGTGCGTTTAGTTCAGCCCATTTGGGCTCAGCTTGAGCAGCTCTAACGTTCAAATAAGTGTTTGGTAAGGGCATTTATTTGAATTGAAAGCCCAATTTAGTTTGAGCGAAACGGCTCAAAAGAGAGTTTAACCTCCTCTATCAGTTATTACCATATCGTTTATTTGTGGATTTGAATTTTTAATTTGAATTAATATGTGATTTTATAAGAGAATTACAAAAAAAAAAAAAAAAAAAATTAGATGTGATTTTTTTGAGAGTTTTTAACCGTAATAAAATTAGAATTAAAAATTTAAATCGGTGAA